TCCAGGACCGCAGGGGGGAGGTGGGGGTGGGGGTCCAGCTCTTCTCACCCCCCCCATCCCCTTTTTCTGCCCCCCCCCACCAATTCCCCCCCTCCATCCCTCTGCCCCCCATTCCCTCCATGTGCCCCCCCCCATTGCCCCATCTCCCCATCAATCCCTCACCCCCCCCCCCATACAGGTTCACCCCCTCCTCCATCCCTGTATCCCCCTTCCCCCCTAACCCCCTCCCCCCCCTCCAAGCGCCCCCCCCCCGGGTTTCTCCCCCCTCCCCAATAATGACCCCCCCCCCCCACCCCATAGGGACCCCCCCCCCCCCCACCCCATAGGGACCCCCCCCCCCCCACTCACATGCCAGATGACGAAGAAGATGAGCGCCGCGCACAGCACCAGCGTTAACATATAGCAAAAGGCGGCGAACGTGAAGGCCATGGCGGGGGGGGGGCCGGGGGGGGCCCGGCCATGGGGGGGGAGGGGGGATTTTTTGGGAGGGGGAGGGGGGGAATCCGGATCCCGGGGCCGCCGCGGCCCGAGCGGGCTCGGCTGGGATGAGAAAGGGGGGCGGGGGGAGGGGGCGGGGCGGAGCACGAGGGGGGGGCGGGGCCTGGAAGGGGGCGGGGACAAAGAGCGGGGAACGGAAGGGAAGGGGAGGGGGGGCGGGGAGGGAACGTGCGTGCAACGAGAGAGAGAGGAGGGGGGGATCCATTGGGAAACGTGTGGGATCCATGTGGGATCCATGGGGAAATGTGTGGGATCAATTGGGAAATGTGTGGGATCCATTGGAATCCATTGAGAAATGCGTGGGATCCACTGGGAAACGTGTGGGATCCATTGGGATCAACTGAGAAATGTGTGGGATCCATCGGGAAACGTGTGGGATCCATTGGGATCCACTGAGAAATGTGTGAGATCCATGGGGAAATGTGTGAGATCCATGGGGAAATGTGTGGGATCCATGGGAAATGTGCGGGATCCATGGGGAAATGTGTGGGATCCATCGGAAATGTGTGGGATCCATCGGGAACTGTGTGGGATCCATTGGGAAACGTGTGGGATCCATTGGAAATGTGTGGGATCAATTGGGAAATGTGTGGGATCCATCGGAAATGTGTGGGATCCATTGGGAAACGTGTGGGATCCATTGGAAATGTGTGGGATCAATTGGGAAAAGTGTGGGATCCATCGGGAAATGTGTGGGATCCATGGGAAATGTGTGGGATCCATTGGGAAATGTGTGGGATCCATGGGGAAATGTGTGGGATCCATCGGGAAATGTGTGGGATCCATGGGGAAATGTGTGGGATCCATGGGGAAATGTGTGGGATCCATGGGAAATGTGTGGGATCCATGGGGAAATGTGTGGGATCCATGGGGAAATGTGTGGGATCCATCGGGAAATGTGTGGGATCCATGGGAAAAATGTGGGATCCATCAGGAAATGTGTGGGATCCATGGGAAATGTGTGGGATCCTTTGGGAAATGTGTGGGTTCCATCGGAAATGTGGGGGATCCATGTGGGATCCATGTGGAAATGTGTGGGATCCATCGGAAATGTGTGGGATCCATTGGGAAATGTGTGGGATCCATTGGGATCCATTGAGAAATGTGTGGGATCCATGGGGAAGTGCATGGGATCCATGGGAAATGTGTGGGATCCATGGGGAAATGTGTGGGATCCATGGGAAATGTGTGGGATCCATGGGGAAATGTGTGGGATCCATGGGAAATGTGTGGGATCCATGGGGAAACGTGTGGGATCCATTGGGATCCATTGGGAAATGTGTGGGAACCATTGGGAAATGTGTGGGATCCGTGTGGGATCCATGGGGAAATGTGTGGGATCCGTGCGGGATCCATGTGGGATCCATGGGGAAACGTGTGGGATCCATGGGAACTGTGTGGGATCCGTGTGGGATCCATTGGGAAATGTGTGGGATCCATGTGGGATCCGTGTGGGATCCGTCTGGGAAACGTGTGGGATCCATGCGGGATCCGTGTGGGAAATGTGTGGGAAATGTGTGGGATCCGTGTGGGATCCATGCAGGATCCGTGTGGGATCCGTGTGGGAACGTGTGAGATCCGTGTGGGATCCATGTGTGGGAAATGTGTGGGAAATGTGTGAATCCATGTGGGATCCGTGGGGATCTGTGTGGGATCCGTGTGGGATCCATGTGTGGATCCGTGTGGGATCCATGTGTGGGATCCATGTGGGATCTGTGTGGGATCCGTGTGAGATCCGTGTGGGATCTGTGTCGGATCCATGTGGGATCCATGGGGGATCCGTGTGGGATCCGTGTGGGATCCGTGGGGGATCCGTGTGGGATCCGTGCGGGATCTGTGTGGGATCCGTGTGGGATCCATGTGGGATCCATGTGGGATCCGTGTGGGATCCATGTGGGAAATGTTTGGGATCCGTGTGGGATCCGTGTGGGATCCATGTGGGAAACGTGTGGGATCCGTGTGGGATCCATGTGGGAAACGTGTGGGATCCGTGTGGGATTGGTGTGGGATTGGTGTGGGAAACGCGTGGGATCCATGTGGGATCCGTGTGGGATCCGTGTGGGATCCATGCGGGATCCGTGTGGGATCTGTTTGGGATCCGTGTGGGAAACGTGTGGGATCCGTGTGGGATCGGTGTGGGATCCGTGTGGGATCCGTGTGGGATCCATGTGGGTGAGTCCATGTGGGATCCATGTGGGATCTGTGGGGATCCGTGTGGGATCGTGTGGGATGTGGGATCCGTGTGGGATCCGTGTGATGGGAACCATGGGGGATCCGTGTGGGATCCGTGTGGGATCCATGTGGGATCCATGTGGGATCCGTGTAGGATCCGTGTGGGATCCGTGTGGGATCCATGGGGGATCCATGGGGGATCCATGTGGGAAACGTGTGGGATCCATGTGGGATCCGTGTGGGATCCGTGTGGGATCCGTGTGGGATCCATGGGGGATCCGTGTGGGATCCATGTGGGATCCATGTGGGATCCATGTGGGATCCGTGTGGGATCCGTGTGGGATCCACGTGGGATCCGTGTGGGATCCGTGTGGGATCCGTGTGGGATCCGTGTGGGATCCGTGTGGGATCCGTGTGGGATCCGTGTGGGATCCGTGTGGGAAATGTGTGGGAAATGTGTGGGATCCATGTGGGATCCGTGTGGGATCCATGTGGGATCGGTGTGGGATCGGTGTGGGATCGGTGTGGGATCCGTGTGGGATCCGTGTGGGATCCGTGTGGGATCCATGTGGGATCCGTGTGGGATCCATGTGGGATCCGTGTGGGATCCGTGTGGGATCCGTGTGGGATCTGTGTGGGATCCATGTGGGATCCGTGTGGGATCCGTGTGGGATCCGTGTGGGATCCATGTGGGATCCGTGCGGGATCCGTGTGGGAAATGTGTGGGATCCATGTGGGATCCATGTGGGATCCGTGTGGTATCCATGTGGGATCCGTGTGGGATCCACGTGGGATCCGTGTGGGATCCATGTGGGATCCGTGTGGGATCCGTGTGGGATCCGTGTGGGATCCATGTGGGATCCATGCGGGATCCGTGTGGGATCCATGAGGGATCTGTGTGGGATCCATGCGGGATCCGTGTGGGATCTGTTTGGGATCCGTGTGGGATCCGTGTGGGATCCATGCGGGATCCGTGTGGGATCAATGTGGGATCCATGCGGGATCCGTGTGGGATCTATGCGGGATCCATGTGGGAAACGTGTGGGAGTGTGGGACCCGTGTGGGACCCGTGTGGGATCCGTGTGGGATCCGTGTGGGATCCAGGTGGGATCCATGTGGGATCCGTGTGGGATCCATGCGGGATCCATGTGGGATCCGTGTGGGATCCATGGGGGATCCATGCGGGATCCATGCGGGATCCGTGTGGGATCCATGTGGGATCCGTGTGGGATCCGTGTGGGATCCGTGTGGGATCCGTGTGGGATCCGTGTGGGATCCGTGTGGGATCCGTGTGGGATCCGTGTGGGATCCGTGTGGGATCCGTGTGGGATCCGTGTGGGATCCATGCGGGATCCGTGTGGGATCCGTGTGGGATCCATGCGGGATCAATGTGGGATCCCTGTGTCGGTGCATCCATGAACACGTGCGCGCACACACGCACATGTACGCCACACGCGTTAACATGCATGAACGCGCAGGACCACGTGTGGCCACGCGCGAGGTCACATGACCCGCGCCGGCACGCGCACGCCGCCGGGGCGGGGCTTTCTCACGCGCCTTCATTCATTTATTGGTCGCCCCCGCGGTGGGGGGGGGGGAGGGGTCATGGTGCTGACGTCACGGGGCTGGCGCCCCTCCCCCCCTTTTGGCACATGCGAGGGATGGGGTGGGGGAGGGGCGGGTGGGAAGCACCCATGGGTGCTGCGGGGTGGGGGGGGTGGCACCGGAGGGGGCACCCATGGGTGGGTGCTGGGGGACCCTTGGACGGCGGAAGCACCCATGGGTGCTGGGGGGGTGGGGGGGTGGCACCGGAGGGGGCACCCATGGATGGGTGCTGGGGGAGACAGGGATGGGGGAAGCACCCATGGGTGCTGGGGGGTGAGGGGGGTGGCACCGGAGGGGGGCACCCATGGATGGGTGCTGGGGGCACACGGGGAGGGCGGAAGCACCCATGGGTGCTGGGAGGGGTGGCACCGGAGAGGGGCACCCATGGATGGGTGCTGGGGGACACGGGGAGGGGGGAAGCACCCATGGGTGCTGGGGGGGAACGGGGGTGGCACCGGAGGGGGGCACCCATGGATGGGTGCTGGGGAACACGGGGAGGGGGGAAGCACCCATGGGTGCTGGGGGGGGGGCTGTGTTGGCAGTGGCACTTGGCGGGGGTTATCCCAGCACCCATGGGTGCTCTTGGAGTGCATGGCACTGGCACTGAGCAGGGGATTCCTAGCACCCATGGGTGCTCTTGGTTCTCATAAACGGGTCCCAGCACCCATGGGTGCTCACGGAGGAGTTTGGCAGAAGCAATGGGTGTCCCAGGGGGGGAAGGGGCACCCATGGGTGGGGGGAGCACCCATGGGTGGGGGGGTCTCAGGGGGCTTTGGTCCCGAAGATGCCGATGGGGAAGTGCTTGACGTGGGACGGCCACTGGGCCGCCAGCTGGAAGAACTTGATGTCGTCCCATTGGGTGCCATCGACCGTCACTGGGGGAGACAGCACCCATGGGACCCCCCCCCCCCCCCATAGCACCCATGGACCCAAGCACAGCACCCCCATGACTCCCCCACGGCACCCATGGACCCTCCCAAGCAACCAAAGACCCCCCCCCCAGCACCCATAGACCCTCCCGAGCACCCACAGATCCCCCCCAGCACCCATCACCCCCCCCAGCACCCATCACCCCCCCCAGCACCCATCACCACGCCCCCAGCACCCATCACCCCCACCCCCAGCACCCATCACCACCCCACCAGCACCCATCCCCCCTTCCCCCAGCACCCACAGACCCCCCAGCACCCATCACCCCCCCCAGCACCCATCACCACGCCCCCAGCACCCATCACCCCCTTCCCCCAGCACCCATCACCCCCACCCCCAGCACCCATCACCACCCCACCAGCACCCATCACCCCCTTCCCCCAGCACCCACAGAACCCCCAGCACCCATCACCCCCCCAGCACCCATCAACCCCCCCCAGCACCCATCACCCCCCCAGCACCCATCACCCCCCCAGCACCCATCACCCCCTCCCCCAGCACCCATCACCACCCCCCCAGCACCCATCACCCCCCAGCACCCATCCCCCCCAGCACCCATCACCCCCTTCCCCCAGCACCCATCACCCCCCAGCACCCATCACCACCCCCCCAGCACCCATCACCCCCTTCACCCCCCAGCACCCATCACCAGCCCCCCGAGCACCCATCACCCCCCAGCACCCACAGGGGGACCCCCAGCACCCATCAGCCCCAGCACCCATGACCCCCTTCCCCCAGCACCCATCACCCCCCAGCACCCATCACCCCCAGCACCCATCACCCCCCCAGCACCCATCACCCCCCCCAGCACCCATCACCACCCCCCGAGCACCCATAGCCCCCTCCCCCAGCACCCATCACCCCCCCAGCACCCATCAACCCCCCCCAGCACCCATCACCCCCCCAGCACCCATCACCGCCCCAGCACCCATCACCCCCTTCCCCCAGCACCCATCCCCCCCCAGCACCCATCTCCCCCCCAGCACCCATCACCCCCCCCAGCACCCATCACCCCCCAGCACCCATCACCACCCCCCCAGCACCCATCACCCCCTTCCCCCAGCACCCATCCCCCCCCAGCACCCATCACCCCCCCCAGCACCCATAGACCCCCTTCCCCCAGCACCCATGACCCCCTTCCCCCAGCACCCACAGATCCCCCCCCAGCACCCATGACCCCCCGCCCCCCAGCACCCATCACCCCCCCCAGAACCCATGACCCCCCCCAGCACCCATCCCCACCCCAGCACCCATGACCCCCTTCCCCCAGCACCCATGACCCCCATGCAGCACCCATCACCCCCGCAGCACCCATCCCCCCCCCAGCACCCATCCCCCCCCCAGCACCCAGCACCCATCACCCCCTCCCCCAGCACCCATCACCCCCCAGCACCCATCACCCCCCCCAGCACCCATAACCCCCAGCACCCATCACCACCCCCCCAGCACCCATCACCACCCCCCCAGCACCCATCACCCCCTTCCCCCAGCACCCATCACTCCCCCCAGCACCCATCACCCCCCCCCCAGCACCCATCACCACCCCCCCCAGCACCCACAGATCCCCCCCCAGCACCAATGGCCCCCCATAGCACCCATACACCCCCCCTGCAGCACCCACAGATCCCCCCCCCATGCACCCATGACCCCCACCCCCCAGCACCCATCACCACCCCCCCAGCACCCATCACCCCCTCCCCCCAGCACCCATCACCCCCACCCCCAGCACCCATCACCCCCTGCCCCCAGCACCCATCACCACCCCCCCAGCACCCACAGATCCCCCCAGCACCCATCCCCCCCCCAGCACCCATCACCCCCCCCCAGCACCCATCACCCTCCCCGCAGCACCCATCACCCCCGCAGCACCCATCCCCCCCCCAGCACCCATCACCCCCCCATCACCCCCCGCCCCCAGCACCCATCCCCCCCCCAGCACCCATGACCCCCACCCCCAGCACCCATCACCACCCCCCCAGCACCCCTGACCCCCCCCAGCACCCATGACCCCCCCCCAGCACCCATCACCCCCCACCCCCAGCACCCATCACCACCCCCCCAGCACCCATCCCCCCCCAGCACCCATCACCACCCCCCCAGCACCCATCACCCTCTTCCCCCAGCACCCATCACCACCCCCCCAGCACCCATCACCCCCCAGCACCCATCACCACCCCCCCGAGCACCCATAGACCCCCTTCCCCCAGCACCCACAGATCCCCCCCAGCACCCATCACCACAGCCCCAGCACCCATGACCCCCTTCCCCCAGCACCCATCACCCCCCCCAGCACCCATCACCCCCCCCCAGCACCCATCACCCCCTTCCCCCAGCACTCATCACCACCCCCCCCAGCACCCATCACCCCCCCCCGCATCACCCACAGATTTCCCCTCCCCAGCACCCATCACTACCCCCCCATCACCCATCCCCCCCCCAGCACCCATGGGTGCCCCCGCACCCGAGAGCAGGGCTGGGGGCTGCCGGGGGCAGCAGATGAGCCGCGTGATCCCCTCCACCCCCAGGCTCTTGGAGTCCGGTTCCCGCGGGCGCTTGCTCAGGAACAGGGTGGGCACTGGGGGGGGGGGGGAGGGGCAGCACCCATGGGTGCGGGTCATGGGAACACCCTCCCCCCACCCTTGGGTGCCACCCCCACCCCCCCCAGTGCCGGCCGTTGGGTGCCCTAAACCCACCCATGGGTGGCCCAGATCCAACTTTGGGTGCTCCAAAGTCTCCCAGACTCCACCTTTGGGTGCTCGGGATGCACCCAAACCCACCCTTGGGTGCCCCAAACCAATCAGAACCCTTGGGTGCCCCAAATCCTCCCAATGCCCACCCTTGGGTGCTCCAAACCCACCCTTGGGTGCCCCAAACCCACCTTTGGGTGCCCCAAACCCACCCTTGGGTGCTCCAAACCCACCCTTGGGTGCCCCCAACCCCCTTTGTGGGTGCCCCCAAACCCACCCTTGGGTGCTCCAAACCCACCCTTGGGTGCCCCAAACCCACCCTTGGATGCTCCAAACCCACCCTTGGGTGCCCCAAACCCACCCTTGGGTGCCCCAGACCAATCAGAACCCACCCTTGGGTGCCCCAAACCCACCCTTGGGTGCTCCAAACCAACCAGAACCCACCCTTGGGTGCTCCAAACCCACCCTTGGTTGCCTCAAAGCAATCAGAACCCACCTTTGGGTGCTCGAGATCCTCCCAATGCCCACCCTTGGGTGCCCCCAAACCCACCCTTGGGTGACCCCAAATTCCCCCCCGGGTGCCTCCAAGCCCCACTTGTGGGTGCCCCAACCCCACCCTTGGGTGCCCCAAACCAATCAGAACCCACCCTTGGGTGCCCCAAATTCCCCCTTGGCTGCCCCCAAACCCACCCTTGGGTGCTCCAAACCCACCCTTGGGTGCCCCCAAACCCACCCTGGGGTGCCCCAAACCAATCAGAACCCACCTTTGGGTGCTCCAAACCCCACCCTTGTGTGCCCCAAACCCACCCTTGGGTGCCCCAAAACCACCCTTGGGTGCCCCCAACCCCACCCTTGGGTGCCCCAAACCCACCCTTGGGTGCCCCAAACCCACCCTTGTGGTGCCCCCAACCCCACCCTTGGGTGCTCCAACCCCACCCTTGGGTGCCCCAAACCCACCCTTGGGTGCTCCAAACCAATCAGAACCCACCCTTGGGTGCCCCCAGATTCAGCCCCGGGTGCCCCCAACCCCCTTTGTGGGTGCCCCCACCCCACCCTTGGGTGCCCCAAACCAATCAGAACCCACCCTTGGGTGCCCCCAACCCCCTTTGTGGGTGCCCCCAACCCCACCCTTGGGTGCCCCCAACCTCCCCTTGTGGGTGCCCCAACCCCACCCTTGGGTGCCCCCACCCCCCCCTTGTGGGTGCCCCCCCCACCCTAACCCCACCCTTTGGGTGCCCCCAACCCCACTTTTGTGGGTGCCCCCAACCCCCCCCAACCTCCCCTGTGGGTGCCCCAACCCCACCCTTGGGTGCCCCCACCCCCCCCTTTTGGGTGCCCCCAACCCCATCCTTGGGTGCCCCCAACCCCTCCTTGTGGGTGCCCCCAACCTCCCCTTGTGGGTGCCCCAACCCCACCCTTGGGTGCCCCCAAACCAATCAGAACCCACCCTTGGGTGCCCCCAAATTCCCCCCTGGCTGCCCGCAACCCCACCCTTGGGTGCCCCCAAATTCCCCCCTGGCTGCCCGCAACCCCACCCTTGGGTGCCCCCAACCCCCCCTTGTGGGTGCCCCAACCCCACCCTTGGGTGCCCCCACCCCACCCTTGGGTGCCCCCAACCTCCCCTTGTGGGTGCCCCAACCCCACCCTTGGGTGCCCCCAACCCCCCCTTTTGGGTGCCCCAACCCCACCCTTGGGTGCCCCCACCCCCCCCTTGTGGGTGCCCCCAAACCCCACTTTTGGGTGCCCCAAACCCCACTTTTGAGTGCCCCCAACCCCCCCTTGTGGGTGCCCCCAACCCCCCCTTTGTGGGTGCCCCAACCCCACCCTTGGGTGCCCCCAATCCCCTTTGTGGGTGCCCCCAAACCCCACCCTTGGGTGCCCCAACCCCACCCTTGGGTGCCCCAAACCCACCCTTGGGTGCTCCAAACCAATCAGAACCCACCCTTGGGTGCCCCCAAATTCCCCCCTAGCTGCCCCCAACCCCCCTTGTGGGTGCCCCAACCCCACCCTTGGGTGCCCCAACCCCACCCTTGGGTGCCCCCCCCACCCTGAGCTCACCCTTCTTGTTCTTCTCTCGGGTCACCAGGCTCATGGTGAGGGTGCCCCCGGGGGGGTCCCCGGGTGCCGGCAGCCGCGTCACCAGCAGCGAGCGGAAGGTGCCCCTGAGGCTGGTTTTGGGGGGGCCCCCCCCGGCCTCGCGCCGCTCCCCCTCCCGCCGCCGCTCCGCAGCACCCATGGGTGCCCCCCAGTAATCGACCTGCAGGCCCAGGGCGTCCCCCGACGAGCTGCGGGGGGAGCCCTGGTAAGAGGGGACATGGGTGGCCCCCCCCATAACAGGTATATGGGTGCCCCCCAATAGCAGGTACATGGGTGCCCCCCCCCCAACAACAGGTCCATGGGTGCCCCCCAATAGCAGGTCCATGGGTGCCCCCCAATAGCAGGTATATGGGTGCCCCCCCAGTAACAGGTCCATGGGTGCCCCCCAATAACAGGTCCATGGGTGCCCCCCCCCAATAACAGGTCCATGGGTGCCCCCCAATAACAGGTCCATGGGTGCCCCCCCCCAATAACAGGTATATGGGTGCCCCCCCAATAACAGGTATATGGGTGCCCCCCAATAACAGGTCCATGGGTGCCCCCCCAATAACAGGTCCATGGGTGCCCCCCCAATAACAGGTCCATGGGTGCCCCCCCAATAACAGGTATATGGGTGCCCCCCCAATAACAGGTAAATGGGTGCCCCCCAATAACAGGTCCATGGGTGCCCCCCCCAAAAACAGGTACATGGGTGCCCCCCAATAGCAGGTCCATGGGTGCCCCCCAATAGCAGGTACATGGGTGCCCCCCCCAATAACAGGTCCATGGGTGCCCTCCCAATAACAGGTCCATGGGTGCCCCCCCAATAATAGGTATATGGGTGCCCCCCCCATATGGGGGTGCCCCCCCCAATAACAGGTATATGGGTGCCCCCCCCCAATAGCAGGTCCATGGGTGCCCCCCAATAACAGGTCCATGGGTGCCCCCCAAATAACAGGTCCATGGGTGCCCCCCAATAACAGGTCCATGGGTGCCCCCCAATAACAGGTATATGGGTGCCCCCCAAATAACAGGTCCATGGGTGCCCCCCAAATAACAGGTCCATGGGTGCCCCCCAATAACAGGTCCATGGGTGCCCCCCAATAGCAGGTACATCGGTGCCCCCCCCAATAACAGGTACATGGGTGCCCCCCCAATAACAGGTCCATGGGTGCCCCCCCCAATAACAGGTCCATGGGTGCCCCCCAAATAACAGGTCCATGGGTGCCCCCCAATAACAGGTCCATGGGTGCCCCCCAATAACAGGTCCATGGGTGCCCCCCAATAGCAGGTATATGGGTGCCCCCCTCCCAATAGCAGGTATATGGGTGCCCCATCAATAACAGGTCCATGGGTGCCCCCCCCCCATAGGAACAGCTCCATGGGTGCCCCCCCCCAATAACAGCTCCATGGGTGCCCCCCCCCATAGGAACAGCTCCATGGGTGCCCCCCCCCCATAGGAACAGCTCCATGGGTGCCCCCCCCCCATAGGAACAGCTCCATGGGTGCCCCCCCCCCCATAGGAACAGCTCCATGGGTGCCCCCCCCCATAGGAACAGCTCCATGGGTGCCCCCCCCCCATAGGAACAGCTCCATGGGTGCTCACCCCTGGGTGCTGCCGCTCGCCATGGAGGGTGACGCCGGGGGGGTGGCCGCAGCCTCACGGGGTCCCCCGGGGGGGGATGGGGAGGGGACAGCGAGGCCGGGGGGGGGCAGCTCCTCCCCATCACCTATGGGGGGCACACACAGAGCAGCCCTGGGTGCCCCTGCAGCACCCAAGGGTGTTCTATGGGGTGGGGGGGGTGGGGGGGGCACTTACCTGGAGCTGATGGGGGGTCCTCAACCAGCCCCACCTTGACCACCTGCAGGGACACCCCCAGTGTCACCCAATGGCACCCAGTGTCACCCAGTGTCACCCAGTGTCACCCAGTGTCACCCAGTGTCACCCATTGTCACCCAGTCACCCATTGCCACCCATTGTCACCCATTGTCACCCATTGTCACCCATTGTCACCCATTGTCACCCATTGTCACCCATTGTCACCCATTGTCACCCATTGTCACCCATTGTCACCCATTGCCACCCATTGTCACCCGTTGTCACCCATTGTCACCCATTGCCACCCATTGTCACCCATTGTCACCCATTGCCACCCATTGTCACCCATTGTCATCCAGCATCACCCATCGTCACCCATTGCCACCCATTGCCACCCATTGTCACCCAGCGTCACCCATTGCCACCCATTGCCACCCAGCATCACCCATCGTCACCCATTGCCACCCATTGTCACCCATTGTCACCCATTGTCACCCATTGTCACCCATTGCCACCCATTGTCACCCATTGTCACCCAGCGTCACCCAGTGTCACCCAGGGTCACCCATTGCCACCCATTGTCACCCATTGTCACCCAGCATCACCCATTGCCACCCATTGTCACCCAGCATCACCCATCGTCACCCATTGCCACCCATTGTCACCCATTGTCACCCATTGCCACCCATTGTCACCCATTGCCACCCATTGCCACCCATTGCCACCCATTGTCACCCATTGTCACCCATTGTCACCCATTGTCACCCATTGTCACCCATTGCCACCCATTGTCACCCATTGTCACCCATTGTCACCCATTGTCACCCAGTGTCACCCAGTGTCACCCATTGTCACCCATGGACTCACCCCCACAAAGGGCACAAACTTCTGGTACGAATCCTCATCGGGGCTGGGGACAGATGGGATGGGGGGGGGACATTGGGGTTATGGGGGGGATATGGGGGGGGACATGCGGGGGACATGGGAGGTTATGGGGGATTATGGCGGGGGCCATGGGGGTTATGGGGGGTTATATGGGGGGACATGGGGGGGTTATGGGGGACATGTGGGGCACAAGGGGGGACATGTGGGGCACAAGGGGGATATGTGGGGGTTATGGGGGGACATGGGGGGGATGGGGGGGATTGGGGGGGGGGGACATGGGGGGGTTATGGGGGATGGGGGGGGTATGGGGGCATGGGGTGCTATGGGGGATGGGGGGTATGGGGGGCAGACATGGGGGGTTATGGGGGTTATGGGGGGCATGGGGGGTTATGGGGGTTATGGGGGGGATATGGGGGGGTAATGGGATTACGGGGGGGGCTATGGGGCGGGATGTGGGGTTATGGGGGGGATATGGGGGGGCCATAAGGGGTCATGGGGGGGGTTATGGGGGGGTTATGGGGGGTTATGGGGTGGGGGTTATGGGGTGGGTTATGGGGGGGGTTATGGGGGGACAGTCCACGCATGCCACCACCCTGCACCCACGTCCCCATCCCAGAGCACATCCAATGGCCCCATTCCTGTGCCCCACATCAGCGTTCCCACAGCCCCTGTACCGAGCACTCCCATGCTGCCTTAGATCCCACACCCCACACCCCATATACACCCCCCCATATACATACCCCACACCCATACCCCACACTCACACCCCAGCCCCACACCCATACACCACCCCACACTCCACACCCACACCCACCCCACACCACCCCACACCATCCCACACCCCACACCCCCCCCCACCCCCCATACCCCACCCCCCCCCCACACCACCCCACACCCACACCCCACACCCCAGCCCCACACCCCACCCCACACCCACACCCCACCCCCCACACCCCTAAACCCAGAAGACTTATCCCTCTATCCAGACTTGTGACTGGAGTTCAGACTTGTGATATTCCTATCTCCATATCCCACACCCCACACCCCACACCCCAAAACCCCACCCCACCCCACACCCCACACCCACACCCCAAACCCCACACCCCCACACCCCACACCCCACCCCCATACCCCAGCCCCACACCCCATAACTGAGCCCCACACCCCATAACTGAGCCCCATACCCCACCCCCACACCCCACACCCCACCCCCCAGCCCCACACCCCACACCCCACCCCACACCCACCCCACACCCCACACCCCACCCCCCACACCTCAAGCCCCACACCCCACACCCCACACCCACCCCACCCCAGCCCCACACCCCAGCCCCACACCCATCCCCACACCCCCACCCCCCCCCCAGCCCCCCAGCCCCACACCCCCCACACCCACACCCACACCAGCCCCACCCCCCACACCACCCCACCCCACCCCCCCAGCCCCACATCCCATACCCCACACCCCCCCACCCCCCACCCCACACCCCCCACACCCACCCCCCCCCCCCCCCACCCCACAGCCCCACACCCCACACCCATACCCACCCCCCATACCCAGCACCCACCCCCACAGCCCCACACCCAGCCCCACACCCCACACCCCACACCCACACCCCCCACCCCAGCCCCACATCCCAGCCCCACACCCCACCCCCCACACCCCACCCCCCAGCCCCACACCCCATACCCACACCCCACCCCCCAGCCCCACACCCACACCCCACACCCCACATCCCACACCCCACCCCCACCCCCCAGCCCCACCCCCCAGCCCCACACCCCACACCCCAGCCCCACACCCCACCCACCCCCACCCCCACCCCCCAGCCCCACATCCCAGCCCCACACCGCACTCACAACTTGTGCCCGCAGGTCAGCATGGCCTCAGCCACCGGCAGCGCGAGGGTGACCCCGGCCCCAGCCACGTACCCCAAGATGCGCCCGGCCACGCTGAAGGGCTCTGGGGGGGGGCAGCACCCATGGGTGGGGGTCAGGGTGCACCCCCATCCCCCACTTTGGTCCTCCCATGGATCTCCCACCCCGGGGGGTGCTGGTAGCACCCATGGGTGCCCGTTACCGGTGATACCCTCTGGGTGCCCTGCTCCAGCTGCGCCCCTGAGAGCTCTCGCCAGGGGGGACGGGAGACCAGGATACCCTCTGGGTGCCCTATGGGCCCTGTAGGCCCATACCCTGCGGAGCCCTAGGGTGCTGTGGGACCCCTGGGTGCGGGCCTGGGGCTGTGGGACAGGGACCCCCTGCGGGTGCCCTATGGGTGCTGTGGGACCCCTGCCCTATGGGTGCTGTGGGACCCCTGATACCCTGTGGGTGCCCTATGGGTGCTGTGGGACCCCTGATACCCTCTGGGTGCCCTATGGGTGCTATGGGACCCCTGGTACCATGCGGGTGCCCTATGGGTGGTATAGGACCCCTGATACCCTGCGGGTGCCCTATGGGTGCTGTGGGACCCCTGATACCCTGCGGGTGCCCTATGGGTGCTGTGGGACCCCTGATACCCTGTGGGTGCCCTATGGGTGGTATAGGACCCATGATACCCTGTGGGTGCCCTATGGGTGCTATGGGACCCCTGATACCCTCTGGGTGCCCTATGGGTGCTGTGGGACCCCTGATACCCTGTGGGTGCCCTATGGGTGCTGTGGGACCCCTGATACCCTCTGGGTGCCCTGTGGGTGCTGTGGGACCCCTGATACCCTGTGGGTGCCCTATGGGTGCTGTGGGACCCCTGATACCCTGTGGGTGCCCTATGGGTGCTGTGGGACCCCTGATACCCTGTGGGTGCCCTATGGGTGCTGTGGGACCCCTGATACCCTGCGGGTGTCCTATGGGTGCTATGGGACCCCAGATACCCTGCGGGTGCCCTATGGGTGCTATGGGACCCCAGATACCCTCTGGGTGCCCTATGGGTGGTATAGGACCCCTGATACCCTGTGGGTGCCCTATGGGTGCTATGGGACCCCAGATACCCTGTGGGTGCCCTATGGGTGGTATAGGACCCCTGATACCCTGTGGGTGCCCTATGGGTGCTATGGGACCCCTGATACCATGAGGGTGCCCTATGGGTGCTATGGGACCCCAGATACCCTGCGGGTGCCCTATGGGTGGTATAGGAC